ATGGAAAGAGATATTTTGCCATTAATCAAATCAACATTCGAGTATTGGATTGAGCCTTGTTTTGAATTTTCGATTCTTCATTTGAAGAATGGTCATTATTGAAATGATTAATGAAATCAAATTTGCAATAATGAATTCATTAATGCATTCTTGGCAGGATCAAACGCTTGAGCTGTTTTGACTGTAACAGATTAAATCAAGAAACTAAACGACGTACATTGAGACGGAAAAAAAGAGAACTAGAACGATAATATCAACATTGTGTAAAGTGTCCCAGTAATTGTGTCCCTGATTGTAGCTCTCTGTTCCTCATAATCCCTCAAGAACTTCCAACATCATCTGCATAACTGAGCCTTACCTTTCGATCGAACCATTCATGTGTGTCTTGCAAAGCAGTCGTCCTGGAAAGCAACAAGCTGAATTTTGACCAACAATTGAGTCGAGTGTGCATCCGATTGTTTGCACTAACGTCCTTTAACACTTTATCTACATCAAACACCTCTTACCTGAGGAAAAGACAAACTTTCTTTCAAAGAAACACCCACATATTTATGTAACTAACCACTTCCTGCATTAATACTGCGGATTAATTGCACGGCTTAGCTGCCTGGCCCCCTATCCCCCGCCCCACCCGTTGAAGTCACGCGATCGAGCAGGTGAAGAGCAGGTCACGTGAATCCAAAAATATTTGAGATTTTGATTGTTTCAAAATGGCGGCGGGCTCGCGATTGGCTAGGGTCTTTAGACTACGAGTGGAGTAGTCCCTAATTTTTCTCAGATCGAGCGGGCGGGCGCGCGCGAAGCGCGTGGAAATATCCTCGCGCGAGAAGACGCGACGCATAGAGGCGCAAATAATGAGGGTCCCTCATTTTTAGGGACTACTCGTAGTCTACAGGGTCTTCTTCGCGCCCACCCGCCATCTTGAAAGCGGAGGTTGCAATTTCGCCCCCCCCCCCCCCCCTAGTGAGAAGCGTTGCATGACGACTCACACAAACAAGTTGGAGTTTCGCTTTGCAAACTTATTTATAACATTACTAACAGATCCATCTATTTCAGATCTTTATGAAGTGTAATAAACGACCGACGTTTCGACATTACTGCCTTCTTCCCGGCAACAAAAACGTGTCTTTTATTTTTATTTCATATAGCGCCAAAAAATTTCATTTATAGCACGTTAATACTCTCTTACTAGTTCGTGTAATGCACGACAGGTGTCCTTACTACTTACTGTGGTATATAACTCCCCCTTTGCACTCATCCCGATGTATTTTCCCGATGCTTTTCCTTTTAGCATGACTTCAGCTGTTTCAACAGACTCCATTACAATAGAAGCTATTAAGAGTAAGAAAAACATATCTGGTCAATAGCAGTTGATAACTGGCCAATAGCTCTTCACGAGCGTTCTCAGACTCATGAATAAATGACTTCGTCTCGGTCCATAAACACGCAAAAAAAGAACTTGGCCAATATCCCGCCATCTTGACCTCTTGCTTGGCCAATAACCCATATGTCCTGTGCCAGTTTTTATACTGAGACACATAACCAGACGCACTAAAAAAACTTGCCCAAGTTCGTCCAGACGGACTGTGCGTCTCTGGTATAAAAACGACCTTTTCCTTTACGTTATCATAAATTGGGTCGTGGTTTTCTTTTTCGTATCTCGCTGAACACCGACAGTGGTATTTTTTGAATAATAGTCAGAGTTTCTTCCCTTTTAGTTTCAAGTCGTGAATCATTCAGAAGAGATGACATGAACAAGACTTGTCTTTTGTTATTTGTGATTTGGCGTTTGTACAAGTAAATCTCAAACTCATTAATAATTCATCAAGTTATAATAATAACTGGTCTTAATTAGCATGGATTTTTACCATTCTACTTTTGTTTTGATTGAGAAGAGATATCAAACACTCCAGACAGTGTTTCGTCACATTTCCAAACAACTTGAATTTCGTGTCAACTCTAGCTCTCTCAGTATTTGGAAATTGAATAAAACACTGTCCCTCGTGTTTGATATATTACAACTCCTTTTTCATGAAACTGAAACATGCATAAGCAATGAAGGTACTGAGGAAGTACTGACCGGGATTAAAAGAGGCGACAGGAAAGTAACACGTTTGCTGCAAAGATGCATTATTAAAAAGGAGACACAAGCACATTTTCAGCAATTAATATTTTTCTAAATAGGCAGAATTTGTAGAATGTTACAAAACGCTTTTTGTTAATTTATCGCTTCCAAGATGAATTCCACCAGTTGCATAAACAACAACTGTTTATAAACACTGGAAATAATATAACTCTTGAATAATAAGAAGAATGATAGGAGCTGAATAAAGCTCTTGTTTGAAGACTAAAGCCTTTTAAAACCCTTTACGTCCTGAGCTGATGATTATCCGTATTCTCATCATCTGTCTGTTTGACAATGTATCGATATTGTACGGAGAAATAAGATATTGAACAACTTTTGCAAATTAATAAAGGGCGGAAAAAACGTTTTCTGGCTTTCTTACAATTCTTACCGGGACAAATTAGATATGTGGTTATTTCGTAACTAGCGTTAACATAGCGGGGTGAATACTATTTCTACTTACTGTGAAGATCGTTTTCGTCCACGCCGCCTTCTACTCCGTTCTCGGTGACTTTTAGGTAGAAACCGTGGCGGCATTTCATACGCGTTTGAAGCGAGTAGCTCGGTATTAAATCACCCATGACCGCGTTTGTCTGTAAATTAATTTGTAATGTCGTCACACTGCAGACGGGATGACTTAAAATAAATGAGCCTAAAATGGTGGTAACCTCGATAAATCGTGGCCGACGCCTGCCAAGTTAAGAAATATTACGTTTCACCCGCCCTTTCTAATCCTCCTTGTAAATTGTGCACGAGGATGGCACGTGATGTTATTTCATCTCCTTTGTTTATTTTTGGCAAGCGGTAGCTTTTTTAAGGACTTACTCCAGTCCAGGATCTTCCCGGCGTTCTTGAATTTCAATTCTGAAAAGACCCTGGTGACGAGGTTGGATATTCATTTTGCCTCTGCTTCAAAATGAGGCGTGGTGAAAAAAATGAGTTGACAACGTTTACCACAAAGCGCAAACGGCTGATAATCACGTGACCAGCGCTAGGCGTCACGTTTGAGGTAGGTTTTCACGAGAGTTATATTAACTCAGTATTTCTCTGGCAAGATTTTACGTTATCTCACGTATGAATTTTGCAGTTATCAATCTCGTTCCCTGGTTACCCTTGTCCAGCGGTGGAGCGGCCAACAAGGACCTTTGGGATAGAGTGATCCGCCTGACTTGCGTAGTAAGACCAAGAATCTTGGCGTCCGTTAGTTCAAACATGGGGTCGAACACATGCGCAGTAGAGCCGGAAGTCCTAGAATCCTGTCATGGCGGATCGCTTCCCCCCGAGGTCCTTGTTGGCCGCTCTACCGCTGGACAAGGGTAACGAGGACTCTGGGAACGAGATTGTGCAGTTATACAAAAGAAGCCTTTAGCGCAATATGCCAGACAATCATCACGTGATTTCATTGTCCGCTGCAATATTCGACTTCGATCTAGAGCTTTAGAATATTTCCCAGAATTTTGGCTGATGAGTTTATACATACACGTATAACGATTGTATTTCTCATTTGAGAATAACAAGTTTCATTTTACAAAAATACATAAAACTATAGTAAGTAACTGTATTCAGTTTACATAAAACTATTCAGTTTATTCAAATTTAAAGGAGCTACGTCACGGACGGCGCATCTTGAAAAAATTGGCCATTTTTTTCAAGTTCACCCATTCACAATCCGTCTTGATTAATCTTCTCCATCCTCAACCATCCTTGTTTCTGTTTGGTTTGTTATCACCTCTTTGGTGTTTTTCTACCTTAGTAAACTATTATTTTGAGGCTTTCTTTAATTCGAAGGTGATTTTGCACTTCGCAAAAATGGCTTCAAATATCGTGACATAGCTCCTTTAACACTGCTTCCAAAGCACCGAGCACGAACTTAACATGTTTGCTACAGGTATGATATTATACAATAAGCTTTCCTGCTAAAAAGTATTTACACTTGGAGAAAAATAATATTATGAAAGCACGAGTGCTTTTATTATCTTGAGGGGTTCAGTTTCTTCCAAAGGTTTAATACGTGTCCCGCAAACTCACCCAAACTAGAGCCGAGTATTTGTCAGTCTATTGTATTAGCGACTGTAAAAACAAGAAAATATATTTTTAAATTTCTAAGAGGTTAAACACTGGAACCTCTACTTTAGGACACCTCCTTTGAGGGGACACAAACTTTTGTCCAGGCAAAATTAACGCTCATATAATCTTTGTATCTCTGTACATCTATTAAAGCGGAGACATCTCTATAAAGGGGACACTTCTCCTTGTCCCGAGGGTGTCCCGAGGGTGTCCCGAGGGTGTCCCCTTACTGGAAGTTTCACTGTATTTCATTGCTGGTAGACACCACGCTTTGCCAGTCTACTATTTTAATTATTTTCTGTTTTAACTTAGTGTTCAAAACCTATAAGCTACATCGACCACCGGCTTTCACTTTCCTCTGAGGTTTCTTGACCCGTGTATTGCCACTGTGGACTGAGGAAGCTTGTCTTGTTAATCTGTAAAAAACAACAGCGAACACAACAAATAATATAATCAAGGGCTAGAAATAAAAGTTGAATGAAATATACGATGTCTGATTGACTATGAACACAATGGCTTATTTCATCATATCTATGTATTGTTGATAAGCAGCATTGTGCTCAAAATAATGAACACTTTTGTATATTTAAAGCTGTGATGGTAACTTCGAAAAGCCAACTTCCTCACTCTACATCTACAAAACTCGCTCCCATAACAAAACTCCCCAAGTATCACATTTTATATTCAACTGTTTATTTCGCTAGAAAGAGTGTTATAATTTCTTTCAGCAGGCCCCCTTGATGGAAAATGTCTTTTGTATTTTATATCATGACGCTATGAGAAAGATCTGATTAATCGGAAAAATACGTTTTTTCAACAGTAATCGAACCTATGACCTTCCGCACACCGATCGGACGCTCTACCACTGAGCTACAGGAGACTCGTGGGAGCTTAGGCCATATAACTATGTGACAAACCTCCCGCATACTGCTAGGACTAGGTTCGTGGATATATATGGGCAAAAATGATGATATATGTCTAGGCTTGGTAGAAACAGAATGAGAAAGATCAGTGTGTGGCAGGTCATAGTATCGACTCCTGTTGGGAGAACTCGGAATTCCTTTTCCGAGTAGTTTGTGTCACTGACTGATTAATTTATTTCTCATTGTGTTTCTACCAAGCTGAACATATACCATAATTTATTTTCTTTCTGAGATCAGACGTTTGATGTTCACTTTACAATTACAGAGCTTGTTTAGAGATTTCTATATTTTGGTTCAGAGACTTTAAATCTCATTTGAAGAAATACCAAATAGAAAACGTTTTCCGTGTTTCCATAGAGTTATTGTAACATCAGTGAAGTTTGGGAGAACGAGAATTGCTGTGGAAACAAGAGCCGCAGTGGAGTGTTTCCACAGCAATTTCGAGTTCTCCCAAACTTTCACGAGTGTTACCAAAACTCTATGGAAACACAGAGAAAACGTTTTCTATTGTTTTTATGAAATAAAAGCACAAAGCAATTTTTCTATGTTTCCAAAGAGTTATGATAAATGGTTTTGAGCCAATCAGAGCGCGCTATTTTTATTTGCAGCTGAACATTTCTATATGCATTTCCCACTCCTAACCCTGCTCCAGCAATCCCCTTCGAAACTAAGGGCCTATTTACATGGAGAAAAGTTTTCCCTGGTAGGAGGGTTACCCGCCACCCCGAGCCATCTTTTACCAAGCGTTTACATGAAAAAGTTGTCCCTCTTTACCGAGCCAAAACTTGGCCCTCTCGGGTTCGCGCATGCTCTATATGTCCCGACTTGTCCCTGGTAGGCGAAACAACAATAGGCAAAGTGTTTATATGGAAAAAACTTGGCCCACCCACCAGGGTCACCCTACCTTTAAAGCGAGTACCCTCCACCCAGGGTTACCCTGCCCCCAGAGCCAACTTTGCGATTTCTCATGTAAACGGTTCGTTAAAAAGAAATGTATGAAAAGTTATCCCGCCCGGGGTTACTCTGTATGGAGGGTGACCCTCTTACCAGGGACAACTTTTCTCCATATAAACAGGCCCTAAGGCCAAGAAAAAACCCCAGGACTTATTTTTAGAAGGGTATGGTATTGAAATATTACTTCTCAAACTCATTAATTATTCATGATGTAGCTAGCCAACCAGAGCTCCCCATTCTAGTCAGGTGGATGAGTTTAGAAACCCAATGAAACACCGGTTGAAACCTACATGTGTTTCAACTCAGTTGAAACATAGTTAATAGAGGGAAATGGTTATGAAGCCCGGCAAACTTCAAAGGAGCAAACAAAGATGGCAAGATTTATGTTGGAAGGTCCATGACCGTGCACATCATTTGTTTTGAGCTCATACACTATGCATGAATTACGTAATCGCAACGTTTCTAGGCTGTTTCTATTGGTTAGTTGCTTGAACACACGTAACCACCTATTGTATTTTGTCAGGTTTTGTGCACGGTCAACCCCTAAAATAGCGAACAAAAACATATAACAAAGAACTTTGCCAGGCTTCATTAACCATTTCCCTCTATTAACTATGGTTGAAAACACGTGTGCTTAATGTTTCTTTTAATCTACATATTCATAAACCAAAACAACAAATAGAACATGAATAATGCCTTTTTAGCTGTAAACAATACTCAATGAACGACACTTTTAAAGAATGTATGCTGTTATTCATGCAGAAACAATTATGTCTTCCTAGCTGAAAAAAAGCCAAGCTTGATTCGGTTACAAAAATAAAGCACAATTGTTATTTGAATAAAGTTGATAGATAAGACGTCGACACCCTCTCATTATTCGCACCGCAAACATTTATGTCGTAATTTCTACTTTCATTTCGGCTTTAAAACGTTTCCAATTTACCTTTATCCCGTATCAGTATAGTGCTCTAGCTAGACAGCTGTCTCCTTTCCCAGTGGGCTCAAATGTTGAACTCTTTCTGCAAACGAAAACTCCGCCAGTAAGCAGTCGCATTGATACTCGACCGGACGCTAGACGGAAATGTGGTTTGTTTGTCAAGCTCTACGTAATGTATGCAGGCAAAAAGTCGTGACAAGCACCAAGGAATGTTTCTAGCACAACTAGAACAAATAGTGCTAATCAATACCAATTCAGTGGCCAAATGACTAGTCTATCTGAATAGGCAATGCTCATTAGAGGGATAAGATATTATGGACGGATTCATTTGCAACATACGCGTATAGCGGAAAGCGAGAAAACCCATTCTTTTCCGTCGCATTCCTAGTTACGCGTATAGGGTATGCGATTAATCAATGGCAAAGCAATTAGTCGCTATTCAAAGCGGTGAATTTGGACATCGTGCAGTTCCACATTCCAGCAAGCTAACGCATCGTGGCTGTCACAAACATCTTGCTCCCGTAATCTTTGTTCGTTCATACCAATTGTTGGACTATCGTTCTCCTAACAAAATAATCGCATTTGTGCTGAGGTATGGGCTGTGCGGAATCCTGCCTTTTTTGGTTCCATGATCTAAAGATCAGAAAAAAATGACAATTGCGTAGTGAATCCAAAACATTTTGTGCATAAAAAAATATTATTCGGAATGCGATGTTAATTTCGGGCCACTTTGGCGAGTTCGCTGACGTATTATGGGCGTATTTGAAACCACGACGTTGAATGCGATTAATCGATACGCCATTGATTTAATCACATACCCTATACGCGTTACCAGGAATGCGACGCAAAAGGATAGGTTCTTGAAATTTCAACAATTTTTAGTGAATTCACAGCATGAAAATTTACGTGATTATAATTACGCGCTTAAGGACTGAGCTAATGTAAAAATTTCACAAGCTTCCAAATTTGAAGGAGTTTTTCACGTTCGGTATTGTGGTTTACAACCACTCCCGAGAGGATTCAAATGACAAAGACTCTGGCGGACATGTTGACCCATGGGATTTGATTTGGGCTATCGACGCATTCATTTGAAAACGGGTAGGCGTAAGAAATGCGACAAGTATACGCATATGTTGCAAATGAATCCGCCCTATGTAATCTTCTTTGTTGGAGAAGTAATTTCAAAAACTCGTGCTTCGTGTTTCATTGGGTTTCCAAACACTCGAAAACAATAAAAGCACTCAGCCTGCGGCTTCGTACTTTCATCTGTTTTCTCGTGTTTAGAGACCCAATGAAACACTCGCACTCGTTTTTTAAATATTACATGTACTAGCAATTCTGTTATATTAAATAGGATAAGCCAAATAATTCAATGAAAGTCTTACCATGAACTACACTCCACATCTTTTGAACAAGGGCTTCACACTGTCTCTCCCAGCTGTAGCGCTCTTCATAACATGTCCGCAATCTTTGAATCTCTTGAAGTCGGTCTGCTCTGTTTTTCAGACGGACAGCTGCGATTGCCTTGGCCCACTCTTTAGGGTCAGCGGATTCCACCACAAATGACGTGCCTAATGGTAGAGCACGCAATGCATCTCCAAATCCCGAGTTACCACTCACAAGAATGGGAAGACCAGCAGACAAGGCTTCCAGCGCAGTCAATCCGAATCCCTCCGTCCTGGACGGCATGATGGCAAGATCAACCTCGCAAAACAACTCTTTCAACCTTTTCTTGCATTGCACAAACTTTCTGACAATCAGCTGATTTTTAGAGATTCCACTCTGCAATAAGTTGTCTGCGACTTCTTCCTCTTTTCCATCAGGTGCACCTACAAAAATCAAACGGTAAGAGCGGTCTCTCAGTTCAACTATTGCCTTCGCAGCAATGTCGTATCCTTTGAGACTGAAGTCTTCAGGATCACCCCGGCCAAATGTCAACACCTTAAACTCATCACTCTCGTTTGTTGCTTGCTTTATGACTGCAAATTCACTGAATGTGCCTGGTGTCAGCTGAATTATGTCTTGGTGTTCCTTGCATGAGCGTAGGTAAGAAGAGTAGGCCCTCGTCAACTTGGGTCCAACTGCCACAACAAGATCTGCCAATTTACATAAGTCTACTTCGGTTCTATTCTTCTCTTCACCTTTGGAAATGGCTCTAGGGTAGTTTTTGTGCATTCCGAGTTCTTCAGGTGCGGTGTGCACCACTTGCACCCACTTACAATTGTACCACTCTCTGATTACTTGAGCCTGTTTACCAAGCTTCCCTCCATGACCCAGAACAATGTCAATGGCAAGGTCTCTTGGTGGGAAACTCAACCAGTCAAGGGGATCATTGTAGCCTGGACGTCTCTCTGCTTCTCTGATGGCAACATTGTGACTTCTAGCGGTCCTCTTCTCTTCTTCGCAACAGGCAAATTGTGGCACTAAGAGAGTGACTTCTACTTGCATGTGCTTGGCCAATAGTATCGCAAGCTGTCTGTTTATGGTTGACAAGCCCCCCATAGATGAACTCCACTCACTGGCCAAGAGGGTAACTCTCAATGCTGTGTCGGACGTCCCTGGATTTCCTTGTGCTGGTGAACCTTGTGATGTTCCAACTACGGTGGAGGTGCAAGGAGACAAATCCTACAAGAGAATGAGAACGCATTTATACTAATGCATGTTGGGTAAATTTCTGGCTTCATATTTTAAATGGACGATGAGATAAATAAACGTTTTGTACAATGCAAGACGACATTCTTCTCCTCGATGCTGCATTACTACCTCAGTTTGATTTAATTGGCTTGTCCTTCACGGAAATCAAAAAGGAGAAGGAGAGTTAAACTGTGCGAATTAGTTTGAAGGTTATATTCCAAGCGTGTCAGATTGTGAATGAACTTAACAACTACATGGAAATATTAGTTTTAGTTTAGTTTCACCGATGTAGAGCTACCATGTAGAAATGTTGTAAAGTAAACCATCAGTGTTATTACTTATGAAGTACATTATAGAGAGTTTTCACGGCGGCCATATTGGTGTTCCAAATAAAAGGAAACATTTGAATAATTAAGGAAATCAATCATTTCC